CCTGTGTGCTGTGGGGGGTTGAGCAGCATCCCTGGCCCCCGCCCAACAGATGCCGGGGGCACCCCCACGTTGTGACAACCGGAATGTCTCCAGACATGTCAACGTCACCTGGGAGGCAAAATCCCCCTCTCCCCCAGCTCTAGAATGCACACTATCCTGTTTGGTTCAGCAGATGTTTTTTTTCGGAGCAAGACTTTCTCGAGGAAGGAAGCAGTGTGTTGATTTCCATCTGGGCACAACCTTGTCACCTCCATTGAGTAGCGTCATTCTAGAACAAGAGGTTCTAGAAGTGCCCTGGCACGTCCGGAGGGAGGTCACGGGGAGAGCAGGACAGGATGGGGGTGTGAATCTGCCGTGTATCGTAGCAGGGACTCCTCCGAGGGCCACGCCTGAAAGTTAGGAAGAGCCAGTTCTAGGGCAAGGACTTTTCTAGATTGATCCTCTGGCCACAGGAGGGTCTTAAGCCGTCCCTTTTAGGGAGAGTCATTTTAAGAAGAGGAGGGAGGTTTGGGGGAAGAAAAGATTCTCAAATGGGGTCTCTGAAGATTACCATGGACAGAAGGAGGCCTTCGAAGGATAAGAAAGTTCTAGAAGGGTTCAGCTGGGGGCTTCTGAGTGTTTACAGAGATGTGGATCCACTGGGAACACATGCCCTCCCCCACTCCGTCCCCTCCAGATATGATTGGCCAGAGGAGCCGGAGCAGCAAATGCCCGGTGGACGCGAAGGTGACCAGCGGGAGGGAGACCCTGCGGCTGCGTTCTGGGGGGGCTGCCACGGTGGAGGAAGTGGTGAGTGAAGGGGAGGGGGTCTGCAGAGGTTCTAGTGTCTAGAGCACTGCTGCTGACTCTGGGGCCTCTGGGAGGACTCTCTGCTTCGCCCAGCCTCAGTTTCCCCACCTGCAAAATGGGCCCTTGTTGTGGGACCAGAGGTATTGACTCATGGGAGGTCCCACCTGCTCTCATCTGAGGGGTGGGGGGCTGGGGAGGGGCTGGGCTGGGGCGATCCAGGCTCCTGACCCCCTCCCTCGCTCCCCTGTGCCCCCAGCCCAGTGAATTCGAGGAGGAGGCATCGGGGAGGGTGGACGACCTGCTGGAGAGCTACATGGGCATCCGGGACCCAGAGCTGGGTAAGGGGCCAGGGTAAGCCGGCAGACCCGGGGGAGGACAGCCACGGGAGGAGGGGACCTAGCGGGAAGTCAGGGCTGGAGCCCCTCACCCACCTCCCCCCGTGCCTGCAGCGTCCACCATGGTGGAGACGTCCAAGAAGACGGCCAGCGCCCAGGAGTTTGCGCGCCATTTAGACTCCGTCTTGGGCGAGTTTGCCTTCCCCGACGAGTTCGTGGTGGAGGTGTGGGCCGCCATCGGCGAGGCCAGGGAGGCCTGCGGCTAGGCTGCTCCGGGGCGGCCCGCAGCCCCAGCCCCGAGCCCCGGCCCCCGCCCCCGCCCCAGCCCTGCTCCAGAACTCAGCCCTCCTCCAGAGCCCAGGACATCTCTGAGACCGAGTTCACGTCTAGAACCCAAACCAATTCCGAGACCAAGCCCAGCTCTAGACCCCAGGCCAGCTCTGAGACTAAGATCATCTCGAGAACCCAATCCAGTTCAGAGACCCAGCCCAGCTCCAGAAGCCAGCCCTCCTCTAGCACCCAGGAGAGCCCTGGGGCTAAGCCCAGCTCTGACATCAAGTCGAGTTCTGGAACCCAGACAAGTTTTCAGACCCAGCCCAGCTCTGGGATCCAGCCCAGTTCCGGAAGCCAGCCCGGCTCGATGACCGAGCCCTGCCATAAAGCTCCACGCGACTCTGGAACTCCAGACAGCTCCACGACACAGCCATACCTGGACACCAGGTCCCGCCCAGGAACGCCAGTTAGCTCTGGAACCCAGGGCAGACTCAAGGAGCAGCCCGGCTGCAGAAGCCCTGCCAGCTCAGGATGCAAAGATGGCTCCCCGACGCAATCCTCTTCACGAACCCAGACCGGCTCAGGAAGCCAGAGGCATGCTGCAGCTCAGTCCAGATCCAGACCCCAGCCCTGCTCTAAAGTCCGGGTGCACTCAAGCACGCACCCCCATCCTGGCGCCCAGGCCAGCTCCAGTGATGAGTCCGGCTCGGACACTGAGCCCAGCTCTGGAGCCCAGCCCAGTGCCACCACCAGGCCCGTCTCCAGAATTCACACGAGCTCTGGAACTCTATCCATCTCCGAAGCAAGGCCTGCCTCCAGAACTCGGCTTGACGCTGGGCCTCACTCCCACTGCAGGACGCAGACCAGCTCTAGAATGCTGTCCAACTCAGGGACCCAGACCAGCTTCAAGGCCTGGCCAAGTTCCAGAGCTCAGCCCAGCTCAGGCACCCCACGCAGCTCCAGAACTCAGCTCCCTCCTGGAGCACAGACTGGCTCTGAAATCCCAGCCCGCTCCAAAATGCAGTCAGTGGCGGAGACCCAGTTGAGTTCCAGAATCCAGCTAACCTCTGGGATCCAGTCTAGTGCCGGGACCCAGGCCAATGCAGCAGCAGACTCAGGCTCCAGAACTCTGTCCAGCTCTGAGAGCAGGCCCAGCTCCAGGACACAGCCCTGCCCAGGAGCTCAACTAACCTCTGAGACTCAGCTCATCTCCAAAACCCTGACAAGTTCTAGATACCAGCTCCAGGCCACATCCCAAGGCAGCTCTGGTATTGAGCTGGACTTTGGAATGCAGACCAGCTCTGGCACTCAGCTCATCTCTAGAGCCCAGCCTAGCTCCGGAACCCAGGCCAGTGCAAGAAACCAGCCCAGCTCTGGAGCCCACCTTAGTTCCAGAACCCAGCCTGTTTCCGGAGCCCAACCCAGCTCCAGAACCCAGACCAGTTCTGGAACCCAGCT